ACAGGATAAACACCCACTTTCTCTTCCTCTTAATGGCGGGGGGGGGCGCTTTGATCCCCCGCCCGCGCCTGGGCTGCTCTCCCACCCCTCGCCCTTCCCCCACGTCCAGGCCGGTGCGTGCAATGGCGCAAAGCTCACCCACCGCACCTCTCCCAGGAGAGGCCCCGCAACCGCTGCCCGTAGGCGGCCCACCCGCCCTGCCCCGCGCCCGCGCGCGTCGCCCTTAAAGCAAACTGTGCGGGGAGAGCCAGGTTTGATTTTAGAATGGTCAGTCTCCAGTCCTCGGAATTCCCGGGGGAAACTTGGAGCACCGACCAACTCTCCCACCCCCTTCTTTTTGCAGTTCCGTGGAGCACCGCACGGATAGGCGTTGGAAACCAACCCCAGACCCCGCAGGTTCAAGCTCTGTCCAAAGCACCCCCAAACGGCCACCCTTTGGGCCTGGTGGTCCCCCTAGCGCAGTCGGCCAGGAGGAGGCCTGTGTAGGCCGTAGAAGGGCTCAAAGCCGTCTAGGCAGGGAACTGCGGGGTCCTCGAGTATGATCCGAAAAGAGGGGAGCAGATTCAGGTGGGGACTTTCCGCCGGGGTTCACAAACTCCTACCCCCAGGGGCGTGCACAGAAGAAGAGGGCCAGAGCCCTTACCTTGCGCTTGTTGCGGTGGATGTCGCCGATGGAGTTGGCCACCGTGTTGGGGCCCAGCAGCATGCGCGCGCTGCGCGGCCACTCGGTGCTCACGAGGTGGTGCTCACCCATGAGGATCTTGCGCACGTTCTCCGCGCCGGTCACCCGGATCAGCGGCCGCCCCAGCAAGTGCGTCTTGAACACGTTGCCATACTTCTCCCTCCGTGACGACTGGAAGCCGGAACCCTGCGGAAGCCACACCGGAAACCTTTTTCAGGGTGCCCATATCCAGAGGGCCCTTGAGGGAGCGACGGCACACCCCACTCCAAGGTGCCATTCACCTGTCCCCCCCAACACACACACACACACGCAGGTTTTATTTTTATAGCGTGCACAAGAACTGGGAAGTAGGACCTAGAGGATAATAAATAACGCAAGGAGGCGGGAGGCCCAGGGCACCCCTGGGACGCTGTTTTTTAGTAATGACTTTCGGGAGGGTAAAGGTATCCCGGACGGCTGGACCCGAGGCTAGAGCTTCTACTCCCCATGCCCCACCCCCACCCCGCGCTCGGGAGCCTCTCGGAATAAATATTTCCAGGCTTCGGGCCACGGGCTGGCGAGACCCCGCGGGGTGGCCGCAGGCCAAAGATTATTTATAGCAGTGAGCGGTCCGTGCCCGGAGGCAGTCACTGCAGATGGGGGTTGGAGTTTCCTCCGTTCTCCGGTGTGGCCGGCGCAAGAACCGGGCAGCCCTCTGAGGGCTCTGCAGGGTGGGGTCGCGGGGCGAGAGCCGCAGTTTTCCGAATGCATTTTGCCCTGGAAATAACTGAGTCGAACTTTCGTTGCCGCCCTGGAGTTTGGAACCAGAGCGCGGAGGAAGGCGCGTCTCGCGGGGCGGGGCGGGAGCGGGCGGAGCGACCCGCGCAGGTAACCGGATCCCCGCCGGCGGCGGCGGCGCGAGCCGAGGATGGCTGGGACCCGGCCCCGGCCTGGCGCTCCGAAGAGGTGGCGGAGCCGGCCCCGCGAGGGTACCGGAAACCGAGGGGACCTCGGAGGGGCGGGGGCAGGGACGTCCCGCTCACCTTTGACGTCGGCACTCGCCACCCCACCCCACATTAACTCTTCTCTTGCCAGGGTAGCACCGGGTGAGAAGAGGAGAGGCGCCACCTGTCCGGCCGACCAGCCTGCCCGCCGACAGACGTAGGCATTCGGGCTCCAGACCCCCCAGGTCATGCACCCCCAAGGAGACAACCCGGCTCCTCCCTTTCCCGGGTAGTCTCCCTCCTCACTGTCCTTCCTTCCACGCAAAACTATTCTCCAGCTAGATGTGCACACACCCCGGCGCAGTCGAAAAGTGACTCTGCAGAACCCGAATCCCTAATCGCTTTTCCACATGCGCCTCCGGCCCCGGCGCGCGACAGGGAGCTAGCCGCGAGCGCCCGCGCCGCCAGGAGGGGGCCAGGTTGCGGGGGACGCCGCCCCGCTCCCGAGGTGGAGGGTGGGGAAGGGCTCCCCCCGCCGTGTCGCCGCTCCAGACGGCGTCTACCCCTTTAAGAAAACCGAGGCGGAGGGGGCGAGGAGCGGGCTGCCCTCCCACCGTCTGCTGTGCCCGTCTCCCTCGCTCCGTCTGACGCTCCGTCTCTCCTCTCCTTCTTTTCCTCTGTTTTTCTTTTCTTTCGACACAAAAGTTGGGTTGTGAATTTTCCGAGGTCGCCGCCGCCTCGCCCCCACCCCCCGCCTCTGATCTGCCTAACTATAATTAAAGTGCGTTTTTTGTGGCATTAATAAAGAGTTATTTGTCCGCCGTTTCCACAGTCTTCACAAAGAGGACTTTCATAGGGGCGGCCGCTCGGGCCGCGAGTCCAATTTATACAAAAATGTTGTATTTTTAGCCCTGGGCTCTGTTTAGATGGCGCTCGGTGGAAACGGAGAGCCCTTGGAGGTCCCCCCGTAAAATCTGATAAATGACTCCAAAAAAATAACGTTTGCTTCGGAGGGCTCCCATTAACCCCTTCAGCGTTCCTTTTTACGCACCCCCTAGTTTTCCTCCCCCCGCGGGATCTCGGGCCTGGGGCTGATGGATGGGGAGGCGCAGCTTTTCCCTTCCCCAAGTTCCGTGCGGGTTGGACGCGGACCCCCAGGGGCCCTTGTAAGATTCAGAGAAGAGACCAGGGGAGGGAGACGGGGAGACAGAGAAAGGTCTGCAAACGGGGTGGGGGGCGGTGACAGACCGCGGATTCTGCAGTTTGGCTCTAACAAGGCGGGAGCCGTTGCCCGTGTGAGTTATTTTATTTCCTAAATTTGCGGCCAAGAGCCTAGACCACCGCCGCAGTTAACCCTTTAAGTGTGGTGGCAAAAAAGGAGACGCTCTAGGGATTTCTTGGCGGGTGGGGACGGGGTACTCCTATTGGTTGAAGTGAACCCCACCCCAGTGCACAAACAACCCCCAAAAGAGAAAGGTCGACTCTGGGACATGGAAAGACCACAGGACAGAGGAACCTCCCGCCCCCTCTCCGTCCCGCTCCGCTCTGCTGTCACTTGGCCCGTGGCGGTGCAGTGCGAGGTGTGTGTGTGTGTGTGTGTGTGTGTGTGTGTTCGCGCGCGCGGATTGCACGCGTCTGTTAATTTCAAGCCAAGCTTTCGCACCTAAACCCACAGGTCCCCGGGCTCACCTTTCGCTTCACCTCTCCCGTGCGCGAGTTGTCTGTTTCAGGACATCCACTCTTCCCCTAACCCTCATCAGCACCCATCGGACAAACACGCGTACACATTTACACACACACACCTCCCGCGGTTACCCCAGAGGGCCCGCCCCCCCCCCGAAAAAACCTGGTGTGTATCAAATTGCAAAAGCGATTGTCTAGCATTTGACAAGGTTAACTCCAGTTTAACCTCCCCATTACCTACCTGGGTCTGGTCCCCGACGCGCCCCACCTCCATTATGAGCAGAGTGGGGTTCTGGGGCGTCTAAAGACAAACACACGCACTCTCTCAATAGATCTTACACACACCTCTCCCAAGTTTCCCTCTCCTGCAAAACCCTCCCCACCCTAAAAGTAAATAGACCCTTTTCCCCGAAAGCCGAGAGCTCTCAGGTCTCTAGTTTCTTATTTTCCTTGGGTTACCTTCTTCCTCTCCCACCACAAACACACACACTTGCGCGGACCGCGGACGGGGCAGTTGTACCTGGCGCAGCCGACTATGCGGCAGGAACACAGCCCGAGTCTTAAAGGGGCTACTTAAGTTGCCACCGCCCCCTTCTCTCGACACTCGGTTTTCGACTCCCAGCGACACCGTCAACGGCGGTGCCCAGGAATACGTCGGAAACTGGGGCCTGCCTGGAGCGCGAGCGGAAGGCGACAGCAACTCAAGATAGGACGCCCCCTCCGACTCACGCCAGGCGGGGAGTAGCCAGGGCGCTCCACGCATTCTTCTTGGTCGCCCGCGACCGGGGCAAGTCAGTCTTCAGACCCTCCTCGGGTCACGGAAGCCCTCCCAGCTCCCTGAACGTGCGCACCGGGCTCCAGTGGCCTCGCAACCACGCTGCAGGCGGGCAGGGGAAGCCCGGGCGGCGCAGGCTGCGAGGAGGGAAGGGGCGGGGCGGGAACCAGTGCCTTCAGGCTCCCGGCGCCCCTTGGCCCGCCCGCGGCTCCGTCTGCCCGGCGCTCGCAGCTAGCGGACCCCTAGAGCAGCGGAGCGAGCGCGCCCTTACCTGTAGCAGCCAGTGGCCGGTCTCTCCGATGAGCGGGAAGCCCATGGAGCCCTTGGGTATCGGCAGCTTGCAGCTCTTGTCGCGTGTGGCAGCCCAGCGCAGCTGCCACAGCTGCTGCGACACGGCCAGCAGCAGCGTCACGGACACCAGGCACGCGGCGAGGGTGGCCAGCGCCGACACCAGCTCCAAGCCCTCAAAGAGCATGTTGGCGGCCGCTCGGGGGATTGGCTGTGCCAGCGGCGGCGGGGGAGGGGAGGGCCGGACGGGAGGGGACCGGAGCGGCGGGGGAGGGGAGGCTGCGGCCAGGGGTCCTGGCACCTCCAGCCGAAACAGAGGAGGAAGGAGCCGAGGGAAGGAGAGTGGAGGCTGCGAGGGGAGCGGAGAGAAGAAGAAAAATCGTCTAAAAGAAGAGAGAGAGGAGACACGAGGCGACTCGGGGTGCAACTTTGTTTGTTTGTTTGTTTGTTCCTTTATAGCGGGTTTAGAGGCTGCTCGGGGGGTGGTGAGATGAAGCCGTGAATCAGGCTGGTGGATTTGCTCTCCCCGCAACCATCACACTCGGAAAACTTTGGAAAACTTTGTCCAGCAGGAGCCTCTCTCTCGTAAGCCCCTTCCTCTGCTCGGAAAAAAAGAAGGGGGACAGAGAGCTAGCAGAGAGAAAGTGCGATCGGTTTGTCACAAATATGCCCCCAAAATTCCTAAGTTAAAAAAAAAGAAAGAAAAAGAAATTCCTGAATCCAAAAGTTCCAACGAACCCAGAAACTTTGGGGGGCGAGGGAGAAGGCTCCCCGGCTGAGGCGAGTGGAGAGGCCCGAGCCCAGAGTCTCTGGGCTGCCCCAGCGGCGCGCCCGAGCCCCAGAGCCTCCACGGCACCCCCGAGGCGGGCGCGGCGGGCGAGGAGGCGAGGCAGGCA